ACTTCAAGATATGTTTTATTTTAGTACGTAGCTATAGAGAAGATTCATATCTTACATACTATTTTAACGATTCGCAATAATTAAGAAATAAAAATTTCTATTTATGATGCGAAGGAACTAACCAAAATGATGCTTTTTCTTCAATAGTTTTCATATTTATAATTCTCGTGAAATCATAGGAAAAACTAAGAAAGAATTTCGATTTCGTAGTTCTTCGACACTTCTCATAACTGTAATTCAGTTGTAGTGGATAGACTCTCATACTGTTGACACGTTTGAACCACTTGTATTCGTTACAGAGCCCAAATCGACTTTAATTATAAGATAAATTTTTTGTTTGTAAAATATATTCTGAAACTGATTTCTTCTAAGTTAATTCAAATTTGAGTAGAAAACACTCTTTCTAATCATTTATAGCTGAAATTGAAAGCCATAGAAACTACAACCAGCAAAATCATCGGTATATCACCGATGTTTATGAGTACCGCAACATATTGTCAGTAGTATGAATACATTCATTTATTCTAGTGATCATTTAAATGATAGGCTTTTGTATAAAGAAGTCGGTAACAAAAAAAAATTGAGATTTTCAAGGCGAGAGTATTTCTTTTTTTTTTATTGCATAATAACAAATACTTACCTTGAGAATAAATTAAAATTAATATTCTTATTAAATAGAAAAATTTTTTTATTAAAGCAAATATTACAAATTAAAATTTTACTGTTACTTTTTTAGCTTATATTAACATTCATTTGAAATTTTAAGTATTGATAAAAATCTTTGAGATTTCTCAAAATTTAATTAAGATAATGAAGTCACAAAAAAAAAATAAGACAATCAAAAATTTGTCTAAATGCAACACAACTGATAAAATACTTTCTTTTTTTTTCTTTCTATTCAATTGTCCTTTTTTTTTTTTTTTCTTAAAAATATCTACTTGAAAACGAATTTACACTTTTCTTATAATTAAAATCGAAATCTTGTTTCTTTCTTTTTTTTATCATACACAAAATTGATTATATAAAACAATTCGTAAAAGAATTTTCAATGTTACTTCAAACAAAATACTTCAATCTTTCATTCACACTACAAAAAAAAAAAGAAACATACAATCGAACACTTCTGCTAATGCAAATGTATGCTTCTATGGTTATGATTGTCAATTGATCCGTTTCGAAATATGTACAACACATAGTTAAAAAAAAGTAATTATCATTCTCAAAATATGCCTACGCATAGAAATCGATATGAATATTGTAAACAATGAATTCATGATTTCAACTACTTGTTCTTTTCGTTTTCACTCCTACTCATCATAAGAAGAATCTTCTGTTTCGTTTTTTTTTTCTTCTTTTTATCCAATCAATTTTTCATTTTTATTCTCGAAAAATAATTGTTGAAGTCTTATAACTAGATTTTTCTTTCGTTTTTTTTTCTTGCGTAGGTAGTCCGAAGTAACGATTAATCATATATGTACATGTTCGTAACAAATAAGAATAAGAGTTGATTCATTGAACGCGATCCTGAGTAGTTCAATAAACACCTATGAAGGTCGATCATCAAACAAGAGTTCCATACCACTTTTATAATATTTCTGATCACAAAATGCAGTTACGAAACCTTTTCTCTCTCTTTCTTATACATTGACATACTTATAATGTGAAGAGAAAAGAAAGAGAAGAGCTCAGTCTCTTTGCCTACGACTTTTCTTTTTCTCTTCTTTCATATGAGAGAAATAAAAAAAAAAAAAAAAAAGATTTCTTTTCCAAATACTTTCTGCATTATTCAGTAGAAGTAAAAGGCAAAAGGTTGTCACAGTTCTTTCTTTTCTTTTTTTTTTGTGCATGTAGATTCAATTTAATCATGCTTTTTCTTATTGGTTTTGCATGGCATGTAGCAGCTAGTTTTGCATTTCTTCTTGCTATTCTAACTTCAAATTGGGCAACATATCAAGTGTCTACAGTAACTTTTGGAAATATAACTGTTCAACATGGTATTTTTTATGTATGTGAACCCGTTTTAAAGATTGGTATTTATGAAACAGCACGATGTGTATCAGTAATCGATATAGATCCATCGAATAATACAGTAGAAACGTTGAAATATCGTAAGTAATTGTTAAATTATTTTATTTTATTTCATAAATTATTTATTATAGCTATTAGTATGGCATCAGCATCACTTGCTATTAGTTGTGCTGGACTAAGTGTTATTGCTTTATGGTTATCTGGTATTTATTTTAATCGTCGTACAAGAGATACATGTACACAATGTTTTCTAATATCTGTTGCGATTTCAGTATTTGTTGCTTGTAAGTAAATTAATTAAAAGATGTTTTTTGATAAAAAAAAAAAAGAATTTTTTTTGGTTTATTTATTTTTAGTTTGTACATCAGTTGCTGTTTGGATTTTAATCATATCAGAAATTGCTGCATTTGGTCAAAAAGTTGATCGTTTACTATTTAGATGGCCTATGTGGTTAGCAGTTGGGGCATCAGGTGGTTTTCTTCTAGCATTTATAACAATGATTTTATCATTTTGTAGAGGACTAAGTTGTCGACGTAAGAGAGCAAATCCATATCGTACTGAAACTCAATTTTAAAAAAAAAAAAAAAAAAAACATTTTTTTTTTTCTTGCTTTATTTTTATTTCTTTACAATCAAATAAAATACATTATTTAACACGGACGGATATAAATTTTTGTTGATAAAATGTCAATTTATTATTATTTTTTAACAATATCTGCAAATAGTTATAAGATAAATAAAAAAACTATATAAATAACAACCAGATGCAACAATATTAATCCAAAATGAAAAATCAAAATTTTCAAGACGAACATATTTAATATTCGTATCATTTTGATGTAAATTTGTTGTTAACATAATTGACCAAACACCACAAGATAATAAAACTAAAACAAATATAATAATAAAAAAACATATTTAAATAAATATTCAACATACAACTAATAAAAACACAAAATATTGTTAATATAAGTATCCATTTTGAACCAATATCACCTGCAAAACGTTCAATATACCATGAACCAAATAAAAGACCTATAAGACTTATTCCAGCACAAGCTATAGCTAAAGATGCAACAATAATTGGAAAAACTAAAAAAAAAAATTCAAAATAATATTTTTTATTTATTTATTTATTCTTATTTACTTGTTTCAACTGAAGTATCATTTGATATTGGTAAAAGAACCCAATGACAAGATGTTTGTGTATTACATATTTGAAATATATTACGTTTTATTTGAAAATCTGGTGATGTATACCAATTAGGTGTGAGAACAGCTGTAGCAAAAGTTAATGTAGCGATTAATAAAACATGGTGTCCATGGAGAGCTAAAGACATTTTGCTCTTATTTCTTGTCAACTAAGAAAGTGAAGTTCTTTAGTATTATTATTCTTCTTTTTTTTTCTTATAGTCTTAATGTCATAAAAAAAAAATATCATTTTCTCTCTATGTTGTTATGATTTTGCTATACGACATTTTCTCATCTTGTCATTTTCTGACGTCGAGGATGATGATGATGCTGATGACAAGGTATTTGTAGTACTAACAACAACAAAAAAAAAGAAACTAATCCGAGATGCGTGTATGTTTTTCTTTTATCTTTATTTTCTTTGACGGATTTATGAAGCTACCGGAATAATTTTTCTTTTTTCTTCCCTTTCAGATTTTACTATAATTTTTAGATCAACATAAGAAGGAAACAAAAACACACACACACATAGGTGTTAATGACGTCTTTTTCTATAAGAATAAATTTAATAATTTGAAACATAGAAATATTATCTATTCTAAAAACATATATATATTAAATTAATATTATTCACTCATTTATCATTAACATTCAAATAGAAAATGAATCAAAGAAATTTGAGATAGAGAATGTATCAATAGAAAGATTAACAAAGTTAAAACTTTGTTTCCATTAAATAGACCTTTCTATTTATAAGTGAAGGTTAGTACAACGGTAAAGACCTTGACAATATTCTTAACTAAACGATCTTTACTTCACAAATAGAAAACGTGTCATTCACAATAAAATAATCACCATCATAATGCTGTATTTTGTCTCGCGTGAGAACAATGCTTTTCGGAGATTGAATCTGTCCTTGGCCGAGACTTCATGATTAATGTTCCGTATACTAACATATAGACCATAAGAATGAGTTGTGTCTATTCCTCTTTTTAAGGAACATAAGCATATTCTAAAGACCTTGTTATAAATTCATTCAATAGGCATTAGCTTTGATTTTTGAATAAGATTTTTTTTTTTTTTGTTGATTCAATATTGAAAGCTTGAAGACCTATATACGATCTTTCAATTGTCATCATAAAGACACGAAAAAGCCTGCAAATATGTTACTAAAATTTTGCTATAAAATTCTATATATGTTTTATAGTATATTTCAAATACGATATGTCAAAGAAAAATGTTGTCAAATAAACAAATATAAAAGTATTAATAATGTATCAGAATTTGACAAATCAATAGCTGTTAGAAAACAATAAACGATTGATTATAGAAAAAAAAGAGTCAAATGTAAATCTTTTAAATTCAATTTGAACAAAAGAAAGTTAACTAAAAAAATAAATTTCATCAATTGTTTAGAGTAAAAAAAAAAACCTGTTCATAGAATAAATTACTGATTATCAAATAAATCAAAATTTATAATTGATTGACACGCTCGAAAATATTTGTATTTATTCAATAAAATTTGTTAAATTATCACACTAAAAAGAAACTTCTTGGTATTGTTCAATATATATCATAGGAGAAGCAACAAACATCATTCTTATTCTTTGCTTCATCAAATCAACCACGATATTAACTTGCTATACATATTTATTTAACCTCCGAGCAGGCCATTGATTCTCTCGATGAACTTTGATATATAGAGTATGTTATAAGTCTTGAGGCATAATAGAATGATTTTATGCGTAGGTTAAAAATGAACCCTAACTGAATATATATATTTTTTTTTATGAATCTTGAGTACTTATGTCAATCGTTCAAATAACATACAATTGGATAATACTTTTTTTGTAATAATAAAAAACTGAATATGAAAATGTCAGAATAAATTTTTTGTCAATCAATCAACATGATTTTTTTTTATTAAGTGTTAAATAATTCTATATAAAAGATAGTCTATTAAAATTCATAGTAAATTTATTTCTCATTAACATCTATCGATTTAAATATATAGTCAAATCTATGTAATAATTTAAACATATGAAAATTTCATATGAAGAAAGAAAAATAAAGAATGTATTTAGGATTATTTAATCATCAAGTTTGATTTAAAGAAGGTGACGCCTGATGTATTATGATTCACTAAAAGTGTAGGAAGAATATTAAAGAACAAGGAGTATGATTTTGTTTTTCAACTTTAAATTAAAAACTATAGGTCTTTATTTTATTTTTCTATCAAAAGTAATTAAAAAAATTTCTACTCTCTGGTTTTTTTTTGTTTAATATCAATAGTGACTAGAAATATAAGCCGTACAGCTCGCCGTCGTTGACATCGATACATATGCGATCGGTCATTTTTTCGTCTTTTAGGAGCAAAAACGTTTTTTCTTTTTTGGTTGTCAAAACCGGCGCCGATGTAAAAAAAAAACATAAAGTTTAGTAGGCGCCGCCACTGTTTGACCTGTTCGGTTTACACCTCTAATAGTGACTTTTCTGTTTTCAATTGCCAATTACTAAAGCGCAGGAGAGTGAGTCAGAAAAACTTCAATTGATTATTTTCTTTGCAAATATATGTGAGTCTTAAAATATTAATGATAATAAAGAAATTTTATTTAATTTTTCAATGGTTGAAAAATAGTTTTAGAAATATAATCTTTTGTTGGACCTTTAACTGTATATATTATTTCAAAACGTGATAAATTTATTTGATTAAATACAAATAAATAAGAAACAAAATAATAATCTTGATTACATAAATGTTGACCATTTGCAATCCATTCATTAGATAAGAAATTTTTTGATTGAAAATAAATCGTATGAAATATTAAAGAACGTTTATTAGTATTATTATCAACAAAATAAACATTTATAACATCTTCATTTTTATTATAAACATAAATATATTTTTGTGTTATATCAAATTGTTTTTCTGATGATAAAATTAATTTTCCTTGTTCTTTATAAATAAGTTCATTTGATTGTGAAATATTAAATTGTGCTTGACCATGTACAATACCATCACATGGTTTACCTTTTAATATTCGTTCAAATGTCCATTTACTTTCATTAAGTGAACGAAAAATAGCATCAGCAATTGAACGATCATTATTGACTTCTTTACATATAGAATTCATTTCATCAACAATTAATTCAGTTTGATTTTGTGTTGGTATAGTAGTATCATTTGTATTTGTAGAAAGAATTTCTTTTGGTAAATCAAATTGAGAACGAAATTGTTGATCCTGTATATGATGTTCCATATTAAAACATATTTGTTGTAGAGGAATTGAAAAATGATTAGAAAATATTGCAACTACACAACGGAATTGTAATTTAATAATTGGCCAAAATAAACTTCGATACATAAAAATAACTAGTAGATTAGATAAACTTAGTTGTTTTAATTGTCATTCCATAGTTTAGTATAAATGAAAGTATCCAATCAGGACGTTTGTCGATGAGAGTGGCGCTATCATAAATGAAATTTTATATTTCAAAGATTTGTAATGTCTTTTCTAGAATGCTGAGAGGTATGAATTATATTCGAACACTCTTGACAATTATACTCTATATTTTATCTTTTTTCTATATTATCTAATCATCCTTAATTTACCTGCACAATTCTATTCAGCATATATATATATGTCAGAAATAGCTATAAATGATGGTTTTTCATCATGAATGGTGACTATTAATCAAAAATATTGATTGAGTTTTTGTTTTTTTTTTATGATCATCATTTAGTTCAAAACAAAATTTTTTTCTCTTGATTATCTATAGAAGACGAAAACATTTCACCTATCACCGATATTTGAAAGTGTATTTTTAGAAGTGAAATTTTATATTGTTTAACCTGATTGATTTTGAAATAGTTAATTTAATCCGTTCGTAATCTTGAGATGTTTGAGATGATCACGATATAGATTTCTTCTCGATTGATGACTACAATCATGAAATTTTGAGGAAAAATTTGACTAGAGAAAAACCTTTAGCGAAGAAAAATTCAAGACAAATATCTAGAAATATATGTCTCTTTTCAATTTATTTTCAATGGCGAACTATTCTGCGATCATGATTTAATATTGCTCAATTTTGAGACTAAAAGATTAAAATTTTAGTTTTGTTATAAACAGTTAAATAATGTTCATAGTTATATCACAAAAGCAATTTTGACAATAAAATTATTAGAATATAAAGATAGTTGTATTATAATATTAGTTCAAATGGTTACATTTCTATTTTATATACATGTACAATGTCCGACAAAAATAACTATTCTCGATGAAAAATTAAATACTATTATTAATCGTATTTGTGTGACAATAGAGAATCGAATATCATCTTTGATCAAATTATGATTCACACAACATCTTTCCCTTGTCAAAAAAACATATTCAGTGGAAATATAAACTCAAAAAATTTTTTCTTTTATGACTATTGTCATGTCTTTGCAATTGAGAATGAGGATAAAAGGAGAAAGACCAAAGTTTATTGAGTACATTTCCTTAGTAATGAGAAACAGTTGCCTCAATAATAAATGTGATTAGATGATTCTGGAAACTTCAAAAATCTTCTAAAATTTCTACTATAGATTCCAATTAATTAAAATATTGCCAATAATATAACAAAATAATATTATTGATCTAAAACGAATTAGAATAGGACGATCGCAGAAAAGTATATATATATTTATTCAATTTTAAGTTTTGACAAAATTCATCAAGAGAAAGTTTACTAAACGATTAGCAGACTAATACAGTTGTAAAACTGACGAAAGAAAGAATGAAATGATATTGACATGTATTTTATATATTATGACATTGAAGAAAAAAAGTAATGTATTTGACAATACACAAAAAAATCTAATAAATGAAAACATTTTTGAAATAATCAAATTTGAAGAGTAGGATGTATCAACAATAAATTCTGATTTATTAAATTATTTGACATTTCCGTCTAACAATAAAATTTATAACAACCATAGTTTGTGAATTAGACATTTCCGTCTCACTGATAAGCTTTGTATTGTCAAGACAGACTCACATATCTATTTTATTATCACTTAAATCAATGATATATATAGTCAAAATCTTAATATTTAACATGAATTGAGATAGAAAATCTGTCATAGTATAATAACTCGACTTGATTTAATGCTGTCGATGTAAAACTGTCGTTTCACAAAAATTTTCAAATGAATTAGTCCAATTCATCATGAAGAAACTTTTATTTGATGTACATAATTCACATAAAATGATTACAAACAAAACATAATAATATATAAATCATTATTTCAGTACATATAAAATAATGGAAGATAGCTCATAGAATTCAGAATGTTATATATATAAATAATCAAACTTTCCAAAATAGAAGATATGATGATATAACTTCATACTAACAATAATGAAATCAGTTTTTTTTTTGATAGAAAATTCTGAAATGAGTAAATATGATATCAAAAGAATTTTTTTTTTGTATAAATTAAATTAATTGTTTTTTTCAATGTTTAGAACGAAAAAAAAAGAAAACACAACATTGACCAAAGACAAAAGAAAAATCATGAAAAAAACACGATATTCAAATAAGAAAAAAAAAAGAAGATTTGTGTATACAAAATATTTTAATATTTTATATAAATATATATTTAAAATCGACGTGAATTTAACATTGCTTCTTTTGGTATTCTTTGACGACTAAGTCCAATACGATAAATTATAAATGTTAAAAAAGCAAGTAAATAACCACCACTTGCACCAACTGCAATCCATGTTGAAAAACCAATATTTTCACGACCAATTTTATAATTTATATCTCGATTCATTGTAATCATTACAACCCATATAATTGCACTTATCCAGACTAATAATTTTAATAATAAAAAAAAAATATTAATTAATAAACAACTAAAAATTACTTACAAATTAATAATGTTAATAAGGCTATTATTGTTACAAATGTTGGAGCAAGACGTCGACGACGAATATATAAATAACCACCAGCTAACCAAAGAAGAATGATTGATAATGATGAAGCAACTATTGCTAGAGATGCACATGCAACAGCATACGCTAAAAAAATTAAAATAAATATTTAATAAAAATAATTCTTAAATAAACATACTTGGCCGACAAGTAGCTACGGAATCTTTATAAATTAAAATCCAATCCCGACAAGTTTGATTAGGATGACCTTCATCAACATAAAATATTCCTCGATAATTTGTTTCATTTGCTGATGTTGGATGATTATTATCAACTGGTAAATTATTTGGATAAATCCATCTTGATGTTAGAATAGCAACAATAAATGCAATTGTACTTGTTACAGATATTAAATAACCAACAAAGAAAAGAGCCATTGAATTGTTCGTTTATCTAAAATATTATAACGACAAAGTTTATAAAAGGTAACATTATGAATCAATTGATAAAAAAAAAAAACAAACAAAATGAATCATCCATTATCTCTTTAGTTCGATAAACGATTAAACACATACTAAAGAATTCTTTTTTTTTTCTCTCTTAATGAACAAACATAAACGTGCATTGATGAATAATAAAATGAGGAAAAGCAGTAGTGCCGTGTGTCCTTCTCATTTCCGTTCGAGTCTTTCTAGTAAAATAAAACATGAAGAAAAAAAAGACGCATATATATATAACTACCTTGAAGTTGAGTTCAAAAGAAAGCGAGAAAAAAAAATGATAAAAGTCATTTTCTTTTTTTCTCTCTCTCTCCCTCTATCAAAAATGAGTCTGTTCTTTTTCTTTTCCAATCTTACATAAGAATCTTACTCATTTCTGTAACATTGTCAACAACAAAGTAAATTTATACTTAATATTAATCTGAATAATTAAAATATAAAATATTGAAAAGATAATAAATATTCGTAAATAGTAAATAGAAATGAACCGAATAATGACTTTTCTTTTTATGATTCTAATTATTGAAATAATAATAACATTTTATTCATCATTATAAACATATTCTCAATTATTTCAACAGCACATACTCTATAGATATAAAGATCATAAGAAGTGACGAAGACTAACAAATAATAATCTAAACTTTCAAGGTCAAGGACATTGTATAAAATATTATCTTATAAATACAAAAAACGGTCTATTCATCAAAATATTAACCTCAGTTTATCTTTGATGTATTACTATATATAGATCCACTTGGTTATCATACATACACACTTATATTTCATACTTAAGACAGACAAAGACTTATGATCTTTTTATGCACCGAAAAAAGAAGGATCAAACGAAAACACTTGAATCTATCAACTTTTTTTCTCTTCTAATATAAATTGTTCATATATATACACACCTATGACTTTCAATAGATAATATACAAAAACAGTTAATATATTAACAATAGATGTGTATATTCATATTGTTATTAAATAAATTGAATTTATGTAAATAGCATATAGATAGAGATATTAGTTTGTATCGATGAACGTGTATCTAGACAATTTTAGTAATATGAAACTGATTCGAAAACGAAAAAAAAAAAATGAATTATCGAAATATCAAACATGTTTATATTACATAACTATTTATAGTAATTATCAAGATCATGCTGAGATAAAACGCACTTTTGAACAATGAACATGGTATATTCAAAAAAAAAAGAAATGTAAATCTCTATAAATATATGTAAGCACGAAAGGTTATAATTTGTTGTAAGTGAACTGACCAGAAAAGAAGAAGAAGAAAGAGAAGGTCAGCTGTTTTTTATTTATTTTTTTTCAATACTATGAATTTTACCGATAGAAATCAAAAGAATTATATCTGTCTATAAGAAAAATATCAAAAAGTCAATTCGAGTATTAATAATTCTTCGTAAGAAAGAAAAAAAAAAGACATAATATAATTGCAATTAATTTTGCTTGTCAAATCAAGGATGATTCTATATATATATTCTCTTAAGAAAATAATTTTACCCATTATTGTTTGTAAAATTAATATTTGTTCTTCTAACGGTAACAATAGAATTTTTATATTGATAATAGAGAAATCTAATATTATATATACACATACCCGATTGAAAAGTAAAACGAGTACTAATATGTACATGTATACAAAAAAAAAAAAGAAAAGGAAAGAATGAGAAAGGAATAAAAAAAAGAGAATCAATGTTTGATCCAGCGTGAGGGCTAAATTATTGACGTTCATTTGAAAGTAAAGTTTGTCCTCCGGAAGTTTTAAATCGCCTTTCCGGAAAAGAGAAAATCTCGATCAAATATTAAAGAAAATAATTTTGTTTTATGAGGATAAGAACAATATCAATTAATTTTATTTAAATAAATAACGATAGCTTAAAAAGGAAAGTAAAAAAAAAAAAAAACTGAAATCTAGAGAAATGTTTGTCTGGTTAATATAATCAATTAAAAATTTACTGTCGTTTCTATTAATGAATGTATTGCATAATTTTTTGTTTTTTAATAAGCACAATCAGTTTTTCAAATTAAGTTTCTTTGTAGATTTATATTTGATCAATTAAAGAAAATTAAACCAAATAATGAAAAAAAAAACGTGATGAAAATTTTTCATTGTGATAAAAATATTTTTTTTTTCAAAAAAATATTTTTATTCGTTTATATTCATTGGATTGCAAAATATCAATAACATGAATATATTTAAATAAATAATTTCTATTCTATTATCATCATTAGATATCAATTACTACTGCTATAAAAATTATTATTAATTTGTAATCGTGAATGTGTTTCAATGAACAAGAAATTTTTGTTTTTTTGTTATTCTAATCTGTAAGAATTGACTTAAAAAGTATTCGAATGAATCGAAAATGACATCTCTCGATGATTTACAATAATAGAAAAAAAAAGAAATCTCGTGAAATGAGATCCATTTAAATTCAATGAGATGTAGTATTTTGTTAGAAGTGTATTTTAAAAGAACAACTTGATTTAATCAATTATAGAAATACTTACCATAGGTAAAATTAAGTTTTCATTTAACGACAACTTTATTACTAATTAAATGCATCTCATCTGAAGGATTTTACAAAAAATTTTTTTCGACTTGTGTTCATATGCCAAAAATGGCAGCCTGTGTGAAAGATACTACTTTAATTATATTTGAAATTTAAAGTTAAAGCAGACTTTTTCACAGAAGCGTTTTATAAAGACACGAAATTCATGTGAAAAAAGTGAGTTTTTTTTTGAGGAAAAAGTTATTCTAACTTTATTTTTAAGTTTCAAGCACTTCAATTTAAGTTTAACTATGTTGTTAAAATAGTTTTATAGTTAAAGTACTAGCTCTACTATTTCTATTATTGAGTATATTTTAAAAAAAATGAAAATTTTTCATGAATTTTTTTAGTAAACATAAGCAAACGAATAACATCCTTCAATAACACTTTGAATCGACTCGACTCGAGAAAATCCTTGATTCGTCCATCCCTGTGATATGAAGGCTGATAGTGAAGTTTCAAAAATATTGTAGTTTTATTTCAAATAGATTAAACTCTGAATAATATTTGAGATGAAAATAAACATACTCTTTTAGAACCTACTGAATTGAAAAGAATTTCTTTAAAGTGATTATTTTGAATACATATATGAATTGCAGCTTTTTTTTTGAAAATTGTTGAATCTTACTTTTCCTTCTTGAAATAAAAAAAAGGAGAAGTCGATTTGATTAATATAGTGTAGAAATATTTAAAAATATTTCACTATAGCCTACTTGCAGACCATATTGCTTTGTATGTAATAAGTTCTTCATGCATATTTGTCACAGCAATTTTTTGATTTTCCATCTTCGTTGATAAGAGATCATATGACTGTTAAGAAGACTAAATTTTATCATAATTGAGAATTTAGGATATAAGTCTCGTATAAATTTAAAGTAGTTTTTTTATTATCTAGATACTTAAGAGAGGGTTCACGAGCCGACCGCCAACATGGGGACTTGACAAATTTCAAAAGTGCGATATTTTGGCATAAAATGAAAGACCATGTTTCAAAATCTACAAATCCAAAATTTCAGCTTATTCTGGTTTTGTCTTGAAAAGTGATAGAAATAACTCTGGTAATGTGTTTCAATGGTTTAGGCCAAAATATCGAAATTTGCATTTTCGAGGTATTTCGTCAATTTCTTCTCAACGCTTACAGGTATCTTTTATTGTAATATCTCAAAAGATAGAAAGCTTTTCGCTCTATCGAATCGTATATAACGACATTCTCTCCATGTCTTCTGAGTCCCTCTGAGTCTCAATATATTGTATGACAGACCGCTCAAAAATCGGGTCCGATAGCACTATTTTAACCAAAAGGGTATCAAGAACGGTTGGTGCCATATTTTTGACTCCAGATCCTGAAAGAGCATCAAAAACTGCATCGAATGCTATATATTCCATTTTG